CTAAAAATTAGTTGAATTACATGTTTGCAGGGCTTACTTAGTACAAGTAAAAATTAGTGCATACTACATAAAATACAAAACTCTCTCAATGTCACTCTATGGCAAGAGTGGTTGGGACTCTATGCATTATCATGAGTGCCTTATTGACCAATATTGTGACTAAGAAAACCTCAGAGGACAATTCAACAAAGGCCAGTCAGAAGTCTGCATGCCATAGAAGAATTTTCTGTTTGTAAGCCATCAAGATGAAGGTACTGTTACATTAGAAGGTTATAGGGCTGGGGATTTAGCTCAGTGGCACCATGCCTGCCCGGCAAGTGCAAGGTCCTGAGTTCGATCCCCGGTGTAAAAGGTATGTAGTACTTTATATACAATAGGAAAGAGACAGAAAGAAGTGTCACCCATATTAAGTGACTAACATTATCCATTCATTCATCAAATATTTATACCATTGTTCTTGTTCTAGATATTGGAAAATAGTAATAAGAGACAAAGCCCCCCCTTTATCATGGAGGTCATATTTTAAGTGAAAAGACCGACAAACAAAACCCTCCCCAAATAGGAAAGGACCTAGTACTAAATATGAAAAAAAAAAACAAAAAAAAACCCAAAACCAAAAACCAAAAAACCCAAAACCCAAAAAACAAAAAACAAAAAAACAAAGCCATGGGCAATGTGCTAGTTAGTCTTTGAGTGGTCTGGTCTGGCTTTTCTGATGTGTTGTTGTCACTCCAGCCACAATTTGCATGCAAAAGCATCCTGCTGCTGGTAGAGCTGGGGAAGAGGGTTCCCAGGGAAGATGAAGCGGGACAGCGGGCAGTGAACTTTGTGTGTGAAAGGGTGGGAGAAAGGAAGCGCCTGGAACTCAGGGAAAGGAAAGGAGAGCAGGAGGAAGAGCAGGAGTGGGGATCAGTGCCTGAGCATGGGGCAGAATGATGACAAACAAGCAAAAACAGAAGCTGAAGTAGAAAGAACACTGCAGTCAGATGATATAAAAACGTAGGGTGGAGATTTTGGAAAAATCCCATTTGCTCCATGCACAAATTTCATCTGGATCTTGCTTGTATTTAGAACTGCCTCTGATGAAGGCAATCTGTAGTGCCATTCTTTGGTTTGAAATGACTAAGATGTTTTCAGTTCCTTTAAGAGTCTTAAATCTCACCACAGTGTCTATAACTTGCAACTTCCCCGGATCACTGACATAATACATGTTTACACCAGAACATTTGGAAAATACAGATGAGCCAGCAGAAGAAAAATGTCACCCCACACCCACCCACCCAACAATAACTACCATTAATGGGCACAGATGCTGAGTCCATTTTCCTTCAAAATTCACAGGCTGAAGCCTAACCCCGGATTGATGGTGGTAAGAGGCAGAGGCTTTTGGAGGTTCCTGGGTCATGGAGGACTCTTGATGCTCATTCAGTGCCGTGGTTCAGAATACAGAAACTGGGACCTACGTGAGGCTCATGGCTTTGCAGTTCACTAAGTATGGGTAGTTCATTTTTTCAAGCCATTTTAATTGCTTATAAAATGCCACACAATGGGCTGTGCTCTCTTTAAGGCTCAGTTTATTTTCATGCAAAATGGGCACAACAATATTATCTTCTTCACAGGGCTGTCTGTCACGAGGGTTAAAAGATAATCTATAAAGGTTCTTCACTTGGCATATAGTTCATATTGCTTTAAGGTGTTAGCCATTACACAATTATCACTTTACGAAGTTGGGATTATTTTGTAAAATAGTATATAAGGTATTATTCCAATTACACTAAACATTTTTACATGATCTCATCTTTAATACTTACATATCATTTTCTATAAGGATATAATTTAGTTATATTTTCTATTGTGGATGGAACGCTCAAGCTCCTTTCAAATACTTATTTTAAATAATCCTACAGATAAAAGAATGAGAAATTAGATTCATTTGTAGGAAAATGGACGCTTTTTGAGGATATACTCCTAAGTGAAATAAATGTCACACATGTGTAAGTACTGAATAGTTTCTCTGGTGTGAAAAACTGTAATAGTACAGAAGATCCTAATGAGATAATTGACCATGTGAAATAGGAAGAAAAGGGCTAATGGTGTAGGGGAAGTGGGAAGGGTAGGGGAAAGGTAACAAGGGAACAGAAAAATATGAGAAAATGAAAAAATGGAAATAAAGTGTTTGTAAATGGGGAGGGGGTGAAGGGAGGGCACAGAAAAGGGGAAAAATGAGAACCAAGACCTGTCATGTAAAGGTACAAGATCCCAATGATGAATGTAACTGTACTGTATACCTAAAATGTACCAATAAACTCAATAAAAGAAAAAATAATCCTACAGATAAAATATTGCAAACATTCACGATTACTTTTCTAGGATGAATTTTAAGAAGTGACTAGGTCAATGGCTATGTATATTTCCAAGGCTCTTTGATGCATATTCATATCTTCTGTGAATTTAAATAAGAATAATATTTAGAGGGAAACAGTCCACACATGTTTGCAATTTTTTTCCATTAAGTTCATTGGTACATTTAAAGCAAACAACGCAGTTACATTTATCATTGGGATCTTGTACCTTTACATGATAGATCTTGGTTCTTGCTTTTTCCCCATAGCCCTGCCCTCCCTTCACCCCCCTCACCCTTCCCTATTTACAAATGTGTGCAGTCTTATAGGTATGTCTTACCATCAACTTACTGTAAATACTTTACTTCCCACATACTTTTATCTCCACATCTGTTCATAACTTCTGATTGGCACCATCTCTTTTCATTCCTTAGAGAAGGTTCTTAGTACGAGGCTTTTAGCTAAGCAAATTTGCTTACATTTTTCTGATTTTCTGGGAATTCTGTACTTACCATTCTTTTTGCTTGGAAGGATAGGCTCATAGGGTTTTGTTTTATGAGAAATCTAAGACCCCCATCTTATACATGAAATGGAAGTAAAGTAGAGGGAGCAGGTTATTTGGTGAAGCTGGTCTTCTAGGTCTTAGACAGCTTCTTAAGCCTGGCTTATTTCTTCATCTCTAGTCCCTAGTTCAGGAGCCTGTACCTGTAGGCAGCCAGCAATGTTTGCTGAATAAATAACTATTTGAAGTAACTTACAGTCTCTTAAGATTTGTGGCTGGAAGGGACTACAGAGGTCTGAATCAGTTAATGAGATGCATGTTGTCACATAGCTATTAGTAATGTGCTGGAATAATAACTCCAGCCCCAGAAAGCAGCACACAGGTAGTCAGGGAAGACATGGCTCCGTATGGTGAGGGGTTAAACTAATTCTGCCTTGTTCCAAAGAAAGCCAAAGCTAGACCAAGCAAATCTGGAACTTCTCAGTAGATCAAGTTCAGCAGAGTATAACAAAGAGCCTTTTGACAATTAGTACTGACCAAAACTGAAATGGATTTTCTTGAAAAGAAATGAATTGCCCCTAATTGGGCATGTTCAAGTAGAAACATGGTAGTAATTTGTCAAGTGTTATACATTTTTTTTTTTTTTGGTGTTGTATGTCTGGCGGGGATAAATGACTTCTAAAATTTTTACTAAAACTTAGACTAAGTGATTTTTGTAAATATATATATGTTGATATAAGAGTAACCATTTTTTCATTGTTGATCTGTTTCTTTGTGATTAAGTCTTTGGAGTGTGAATCCATTATTTTTCTCATTATATAAAGGATTAGATAAACTCTAATGTCTTTCCTGACCCAGAATTCTCTAGTTCTCATAACATTTTAAGTGCTAATTCAGTGTACTACACACAGTAGGAGTTCAAAAGATAAATTTAAATTAGCTCTTAAGTCTAGAAAACCTACATTTAAGATAAATTAAGCTACAGGCTCCATGCATTTGAGCAATTTGATTGAACTCAGGTGGTATCAACCAAATGCATCAGTTGATCATGCTAAGAGCACTAAATATTCATTAGCTTTTTAAATTAAAAAGTCTAAAATTGAAAGAAATTTGAGTGGATTTAAGTGCGGATGAAATAAAAAAAATGTTAAATGTTCTCTTATTGGGTTCCTGAGTGATGATATAAAATTACAGCTGGAAATTATTTCCCAGAATAGAGAGTCCTAGTAATACTAAACTACAAATATGATTTTATGGTACTTCAAGTATAGAGTTACTGGAAGACTGCTCACATTATAATCACTTCATCTGGATTCTAGGGGTAAGACAGCCACATAATTGAAACCCATCCCAAGAATGCTTTCAATTTTCAAGATTTTGTATCAGTAGGAGAAACAGAGGTCCTAACAAGCCCATGCTTGAGCTCAGTGAAGAGCTCCACTCTCAAACAGCAATCTAGCAAAGCTTGGATGAACACTGCAGATAGCATCAGTGATGTATGTTTTGTGATTCCAGCCAGGAAGAAATGGATTTAAAAAAATGTGCAAAAGCTGATTTTTGTTTTGTTTTTTTCCCCCCTCTGGCTTCCTTTCTGTCTTCTATCCCTTCAGTGAAGGCCAAATATGGAAGTCAATGTTCAAATAAAGTATTTAATTATATTTATCAACGATATTTTGGACACTTTTAATAAAAGATATTATGCTTCAGGTCACTATGGGCTGTCCATTGATTAGACTATCCCAGTCATGTGTTTTTTCTCATCAGGCGAATATATAATACTCAGTGTCAGCAAGGTCTTTATGTTTCAGACATTGTGTTATTTTAGATGCTACAGTGGTAAAAACATTGTCAGGCCTGAATTTTGCCTTACAGAAGCATAAAAAAAATACATGGCTGTGGTTCAGCACAGAACCCAGACAAGGCCCAGGACTCCAGTCCTAGTAATCTGTCACAGACCTGGCACACCTATTACTCACCCCACTGAGAAGTCCAAGGAACCGAGCAGGCCCTGATAACAAATCTCATTCTGACAATCCTAATTATTTTTTTCCGGTATCTATAAAGTAAGACTCATTTTATATGATTCTTGTCGAGGTTTGATTTTTTGAATACCACTTTCAGAAATATGAAAAGGGGAAAAAATTTAAAGAAGTTACCTCTACTGCTGCTTTTGCCCTTTCAAATTCTTCTTCCAAGGAGTGGTTTCGAGAAAGCAGCGAACTTCCCCAGCGATGTTCTTTGGTCAGCCGAGCCTGAAATAAACCAAACACACAAGGTGTTACAATAATGGAATCCCACAATACAAGTGTTTTTCCTTTTCTCACCTTATCTCCCTGGAGTTCAAGAAGATTTATGATTGACATTATTTTTGGAGTATTTTGCAGGCATGATATTACCCAAAATTAGAATGGTGTCAAAATGTGTGTAGGCATGTGCGTATGATTCTTCCAACAACGGCTGTCAGTCTTGGTCATGTTAAACATACTAACCATACTCTTAACCCTTCAATGTCTAGTGATCTACTTTTGGCACCCCGTAACAATGGAACATAATGAAATGTGTTCCTTCAAATTCTTGTTTCTTGAATATTTTTGGTAACGTATATGCACTTCATGAAAAAATTCAAAAAATTTAATCTTCAGCATATACAAGTGAATTAATTGGTCTGGGCACTGATATTTTAGTAAACTAGTCCTCATGATGCTGACATGCAGCTAAGACAGGCAATCTCCATTAGAGGGCTAGATACAGAAACTGATATCTAGCTTTCATCTTGCTAAGAGGACCAGTCACAGGTAAAAATATCAAAGCTGCCGAAATGGAAGAGTGGCTTCCAGGCCTTCCCCTTCCTGTATATAGAAGATGCTCATGCAGAATTATCTTTCCTTTGGTTTTCCTCTGCTGTCTCTATTTTATGTCCCATTTCTCAGGATATTGCTCTCTGTTAAATCATAATGACTTGTTTAGATAAAAGTGTGTCTGGTAAGGCAAACAGCTTTCTCACAAGTCACAGGCAAGACAACATACAACTTTGCTTAGCTAAATGAAAATATTTTAGAGGATCCCTGCAGAAAGAATAGTTGTGCAAACTGTAGCCAAGTGATGCCATTTTGTAACAGGCGGCCATTCAGCCGTCCAGGGAGTCCTTACCAGGTGCTGAGGCTGTGTGGTACATTTCTGCAAAGCAGAGCTGAGACCAGCAGAATTACTGATAAGGATGAGAGTGGGCCACACATAAACACATTATTCTTTCCCTGGATTCTGGTTCTTGCTTTTGCCTTTTTGCTATTGCTTAGAACCCTGTATAAACAGGAACATGGCAAGCAGGGGACTTCGGTATTGCATCTGCCCTTAAGCCATCCATGGTTCTGTCAATAATCCTTAATATATTCACTTACTTGCCAAGCTGGACTTCTCCCAGTCATTCTTCAGTCTATCACTGACTATCCCGATTTGGAGGCAGACATTTCTTTTATAACTTTTTGGGAAATTAATGTACAAGCCTCTCCCCAAGCCTGGTCTGCTATAATATTTGAAAAGTTATTAATACTTTTTAATTTACAAAAATAAATATGTTCTTTTGGGAAAAGACATGGAAAATAAAAGTTATGGCTTTAGGTGTTTTTGAAATAATTTTTGTAGTAACCTGCATATTTATGCACCCATAGACAGAATAAATAATACACTTGAGATAAAGTTGTGAAACATTTTCACTCAACAATACGTCTCAGGGCATTTTCACATTTGGTGCTTATTGGTCCGCTGCACAGCACTGAAGGCAGGGATTTCGCCTGGTAACTTTGTGCTCTTCGAAAGTGGCCCAGGGCCTGACAGGCGATGAGCGGCCCGTGGCTGTCTGGACTGCAGGAAGCAGGTGACACTGATGGGACAGCTGGGCCTCGTGGAGCAGGAGGAGAGGCTGTTCTGGAGTGAAGTTTTTACTGCAGGCTGGGGGGCGTGTGACGCTTGGTCCCCGTGTCGGAGGCTTTAGAGCCAGCCTGCTCAGCCCTTGCTTCCTGGGGAATTCCTCGAACAGGCCTGGACCCCACTTCAGACCAGTTAAAGAAGAATCTCTGGAGTCGGGTGCTGGGCACTAGAGGTCTGAAAACTCCTTTGGTGATTCTGAGAAGCAGTCGGGTTTGGAAATCATTGTTCTAGAGCAGAGCTTTGCTCTTCATTCAGTACTCACCATCTACACAGCTCAACTGCTTGTTATTGTTCTCTGCCCTCCTGGACCTGGAGTCCCCCCTTCCCGCCACCTTTCTTAATGACGCAGAGGCACACTCAGTGCTCACTGCATGCCAAATGCTGCTCCAAGTACATTAGATTCTCTAACTTGTTCCGTCCTTTTAACGAGATGGTGACAACGAGGCACAGAAAGCTTGATTAACTTGACCACAGTCACACAGCTCCAGTAAGTAACAGGGCTGGGGCTTCCGGACCTTGCTCATAGTCACTTCACCATATGGCCTTGTTCACCTGGCCTAAGGGAAGGCGTCAAGTGCAGAAAAGCGGCCCCTTGGGGGCTCCGGTAGGGTCAGAAGTCAACCAAGAAGCCTAAAGAATTTTGTGAATTGAAAACAATGATGAAATTATTATGAGGAACACCTCTGACTATAAAGAGTCTTAAACTGTGTTTACTCTAATAAGTATGGAGGATTAACTTACTGAAACATTGATTTATGTTTTATCCTCCCTGTTGTGAACAGTGTTGCGTCCCTGTTCCCCCCAGCAGACAGTAGTAGGTGCTCTAGCATCACGAAGTGTTTGTTGAAACTATGCTGTCAGCCAATCAATTAATTAAAGGCTTTTTCTGTCCTCTCTCCTGGAAGGTGTTCTCCTTCACAGCTTCCTGGTTAATTTGGAGGCTGAGGAGGAGCACATGGGTGAGTGGGAATGGACTTGTCTTTTTGTCCTGCACCTGTGTGGCAGAGGCCCATGATGGCAAAACCTTACTGGGAAGAGGAATGACTGCTGGAAGTCCAAGGGAAGGCTGAGCCTGCTGTCAGAAGAGGAGATGGGGCAGTGGCCAGCTCTCCTCTGGGCCTGCTGGGCATCCAGACCTGGCTGTCAGGTGTGCAGGCTCACGGCTCTCCCTGAAGAAGTAGCCTTAGCGAGGTCTTCTGGGTCCCGAGAAAGTGTCTACTGCTCCCATCCCAAGAGTGGTCATGGGCAGGGGGACCTAAAGCACAACTGAGATTGACCCTCATGCCATTCTGACAAGTGAGCCTTAGAAACAGACTTACGAATAAGTTTATAAAAATAACAGGGCGTTTTTTGCCCTCCAGGTTTGTGGCACTGCAGAGGCAAAGGGACATACAATTCCTCTGGGCTTACTCCAAGGAAAAGAATCAAGTTTTTGTTTAAAACCAAGAATACTATATTTAGTTTTAGAATAGATGATTAATTTAGAATCTCCCAGAATTGAATTAAACAACATTCAGTTGGATTTTTGCTCCTCGGACTGATGACAAATTTCAACAGGTTGGTTGGCATAAATCATAAGAAAGTTGTGAGTTATATTTTATAAATTATGTTGCCTACATTTTTAATGTATTTAATAATAGCATAAATTAATGTGACTTTTGAGTGTGGCTGAATATTTTGGTTTGGAAATTCTATGGTTTCTGGGATTATTGCATTAAAAGAACAGAAGGACCTTTTAGTTACAAAAGGAATGCTTTATGTTACTTGTAAGCTAAATACTCTCCCTATTTATGTCTAACTTGGATCCAAATTGAGAAATATGCAGTTGCTTTGGTTTCTGATGTATGCACATTACATTTCTCAATCCACACTATTTTGTTTGTGATTTTGACAAGCCTTAAAAACACATGGCTGCTCTCTATTGGGGAAAGTTATTATGGCTTTGCTGAAGAGGTTGGTAAATGTGGCTTCCTTGAGTTCCCATTTATTTAACAAAAGTAAAAAAAAAAAGCAAAGGTTGAGACAGGTGTGCTAATAACATATGTCTGTAAGTCCAACAGTCTGAGAGGCTAAGGCAGAAGGATCACAAGTTTGAGACCAACCTAGATAATTTAGCGACTTAGTCTTTGTCTAAAAAAAAAAAAAAAAAAAAAAAAAAAA